TTATTCAAACTCACCCACCAACCACTAAAGTCAGTGGTGATAAAATTGAAGAATTCTACCAGAATAAGCCTTCATTCACTTAATATACAATAAAAGTTTTAAGAGGAAAAAAAAAAAAGAATTCAAGGAAGAAAGAAAAGACCACATTCGATGTCAGAAGAGACTCTGAAACTTGTTTTCCAGCATAGAGATGCTAAAGCAAATGGAAGAAATGAAGAGGTAAAAGAGCTGAATGTAAATTTTCAAAGGGTAGCTTGAGAAGACAAAGTTAAGTATTATAATGAGATATGTGAAGACCTGGAGTTAAGAAACCAAAAGAGAAGAACATATTCAGTATTGTCAAGCTGAAAGAACTGAAGAAAAATTCAAGCCTCGACTTTCAATATTGAAGAATTCTATGGGCAAAATATTGAATGACACAAAAATCATCAAAAGAAGATGGAAGGAATTCACAAAGTCACTGTACCAAAAGAAATGGTCGACATTCAAACATTTCAAGAGGTAGCCTATGATCAAGACTCAAGGGTGCAGAAGGAAGACGTCCAAGATGCACTGAAGTCATTGGCAAAGAACAAGGCTCTGGAAATCGATGGAATACAAATTGAAATATTTCAACCAACTGATGCAGCACTGGAGGCACTCACTCATCTATGCCAAGAAATTTGGAAGACATCTACCTGGTCAACTGACTGGAGGAGCATTATCTTTGTGCCCATTCCAAAGAGAGGTGACCCAACAGAAATCATTGGACAATATCATTAATATCACATGCAAATAAAATTTTGCTAAAGAGAATTCAAAAACGATTGCAACTATATATTGACATAAAACTGCCCGAGGTTCTAGCTGGATTCACATGAAGTCATGGAATGAGGGATATCACTGCTGACATCAGACGGGTCTTGGTTGAAAACAGAGAATACCAGAAGGATGTTTACCAGTGTTTTACTGACTGTGCAAAGGCTTTTGACTATGTGGATCATGACAAGCTATGGATAATATTGCAAAAAATGGGTTTCCAGAATAGTTAACTGTGCTCATGAGTAACCTTTACACAAGAGGTAGTCATTTGCACAGAACAAGGGGCCACTGAATGATTTAAAATCCGCAGAGGTGTGTGCCGGGGTGATAATGCAAAGTACAGAAACCTCGTAGTATTAGTAGCAGTTGTTAGGTGTCATCAAGTGAGTACCGACTCACAGCAACCCTATGCACAATCCTAAGAACAAAAAACACTGCTGGTCCTGGGCCAACCTCACAATCATTGCGAAGCCTGAGCCCATCACCGCCACCACTGTGCCAACTCATCTCATTGGGAGTCTTCCCTAGGATTAGAAAATCAAAAGGGAAGAACACACTTGGCATTTTTCAAACTGAAATACGTATTTACAGCCTCATAAACCCTAAATAGGGTTGCTATGAGTGGAAACTGGCTGGAGGGAACACAACTACCACCACCAGTAGAAGCTCTATGTTAGCTTGTTGCTGTTGTTGTTAAGTGCCGTCGAGTCGATTCTGACCCACAGTGACGCTGTATAGGGTTTCCGAGGAGCAGCTGGTGAGCTTGAACCGCCGACTTTGCAGTTCAAACGGCTTTACAGTCTGGCGCATTAACCCACAGCGCCACACCAGGACTCCATATACACTTAGAGACGCATACAATTCCTCTGGAACAATAGTTAACAGGTAATAGTGGTTACCTCCAGCTGATAACTAGAAACAGCAGTTGAGGAGAAACCTTTTAAATCTTTGCATATGTACATATTACCTATCAAAAGGTATAGATAAGTCTTAAGTTTAAAGCTACTAATTTGCTGAGTTTCAATAAAACTGAAATTGCAACAGGCTTGAGCTTGAATTGACCCTCAGAGTCCTGATACCGCCCCCTAGCGCCCAGTTACTGCAGCTGCTCTATGAGGCCCCAGCAGAACATATTCATCTTATCAATACTTACCAGGTTAATACCATAAATTAATCGTCCTGGTGTGGTGCCATTGGATAAGCACTTGACCTCAAGGTCAGTTTGAACTGCAAGGTTGGTGTTTCAAACTCAACCAGCCGTTTCTTGGAAACCCTATACAGGGTCGCTATGAGTCGGAACCTACTAGATGGCACTTAACAACAACACATCGGCTGCCTAAATCGTTACCTATAAAGATCTAAAACACCTAGATGTGAAGGATGGCATTACCTCAGACTTTTCAGTTATTCTCCAGGCTAGTTGCTGTTATGTTGTACGCCTTTAAACATAATGCATTTTTTTATTATTTTGAAATTAATTTGTTCTCACTGTAAAAATACATTTGGAAATTACAGTAAATAAAGAATAAAAAATTTCAAAGCCCTAACTCCACCAGCAATAGATAACTATTGTTAACATTTTGAACTATTTTCTTCTCGTTCTTCTAATGCCTACATATTTTTTTACATCGTTGTCATGCTGAATTTTGAAGCAAGTCTCTAAAAGACACAAATGTTTAAAAATCTACCCTTATTAATTACTACAACAATGCTCTTGTTAGGAAATCACCTAGTATTAGAAACTGCAAGGCATATTTGGGTTAAGAGTGCAAGATCACTTGGAAAATGCCCACTGGTTCAGAATTAGTCATTTCTGTAGGTTTGAAACCTGAGCAAGTGACTAGTAGCAACTTCATGTGTTTGGGTTTTGGGGTTTGAGGGGAGGGTCCCTTTTTTTCTTCTCTTCTCAGTGTTCTTACATATTTGGGGAAACAGTCTCAATTGTCCCTTTTGCTGGGCAGGTTCCTAACAAGCAGCTGGTCTGAATAAAAGGCTGGTGGGCGTGTTCCCCGCCGGAGATCCGCGTTGGACCGCGCTTAGCCGAGGGAAACCCACCCCGCGCTGCGCAGCGGGTATAAATGTGAGCCAGGTAGGCTGAGGCCCCAGGGCAGACCCAGGCTTCGCAGAGGGGAACGGATCACCACGTTGATCGGCGATCGTGCCAACTAACTACGAAGATGGCACCCGTTGGAGGAAAAAAGGCCAAGAAGGTAAGCCTCCAGGTATCATCCTGGAAATATGAATCAGCACCCACCGGCCCCTCACTGTAGACTGGGTGAGCGCAGAGGGACCCTTGGAGCTCGGCTGTGAATCAGGTACTCTCACTCCAACACAGTCCTCGGGAGAAAAGGTGATCCCAGAACTTCTAAAGGACACCAAGGCGCCTCTGGACTCCCCATTCCTGCCCCATTTCTAGAGTGTACCCCCAGCGACTACCCTCCCAGATATCTAGCCTTTTCTCCTAATCCTCCCGCCCCTACCCCCGCTGCTTCGGACCAGAGTGCGCCCCAGAGCTATGCCTCCGGACCCACTGTCGACTAGAGAAGACCACGTTCCCAAACTTCTAACATCTTCTGGGTGCCGCACCCCAAGACCAGAACGCGCGCCCCCACGGCTGGCGCTCCTAGACCCATAGGCGACATTTCCCTCTCCCACTGTGGTGTGACCTGCTTGTCAGCGCGCCCCTGGCCCTCGGTGTCAAGATCCTTGTCGGCCGCGTACCGGTCGGAACTGGGAGGACAAACTGGGGTGCGCTGGAGCCTCGCATTGCCTACCGTTTGGGGCTGGCACCTGAATCCGCACCCAGGGTTGCGCGGTGGCCTCTCTTGTGTTCTAGCCAGGCACCACAACCTCTGACAGAGGCGTTGTCTCAGTAATGGTGTGTTCTCACCTGCAGTTTGATTTCAGCGTTCACAGAAAAATGTTCCACGTTGACCCCAAGAATATGTCCTTAGGTGGCACAAACCTTTTAATTCAACAACTAACCTAAAGGTTGATGGTTGGAACCCACCCTGCCACTAGTGGAAGAATGACCTGGTGATCCGTGGAGTTTATGTCTATGGAAAATCCTATGAAGCCATTCCACTCTGTAGTACACAAGGTTGCCATGAGTTGGAATTGACTCCTCTGGCAATAGGTTTGGTTGTTTCGGGTTCCAAACCAAAGGTTGCAGAAAGGATGCTGAGGGATCTTAAAATATTCTAAGGAAGGACAATAAGATTTAAAACCACCAAGAAAAAAAACACGACAGCAACAACAGCAGATAAACAAGCCATCCCTTCGCTTTCCCAATGACTTTTGGGGGACAGTGTTTTCAGTACAGACAACTGACCTACCTCTAGTTTGGGGGATTGATGGATGTTCATACTGGCTGAGAAAGTATGGTTGGAGGTGTGGGGAAAGAAAGATGGAGAGAGAAGAGAGTAAGTTCCCAGTAAATCGACTCAGGGACAACTCCTACTTGCATTTCCATGTTATTTTATTTCCCTCACTTTGAAACCGCTGAATCAACTGAATCAACTTCTACTTGTAATAAATTCTTCATCATAATCAGTTTCACTTGAATCACATGCAGATTTTAAATCACTGAAAAGGTTTCCAGCCTTTTCTTACATTAAAATAAGGCTGTATAAAAATTGTATGTTAACTGTACCTGTTGTGGTTAACTGACATTGAGTCGGTTCCAGCTCAAAGTGACCCTTTGGTTTCCCAGTAGTGTTGGTGGGTTTGAACCACAAACTTTTCAGTTAGCAGTCCAGTGTTAATCCTGCAGCACCACACCAGGACTTACCTACAAATTCCCCTTAAAGACACAGGATCAGATCCTGTTCATAAACCCTGTACAGGGTCGCTGTGAGTTGGAACCCACTCCATGGCACAAAGCCATCACCACTTCAGTATCAAAGACCCAGGGACAGAAGTCCCCAGGAGATGGTAGGGAGGCAGACAGGGTCTGGCCAACTATACCCCTCAGCTATAAGGTCGCTGAAGGCAGGTCCATGTCTCATCTTCATTCCCTGCTGGGAAACATCTTGGTACCTTCCTAGTTTCTAAAGATGGGCTCCCAAATCAAAAAGACTTTCATACAAGGAAAAAAAGGTAATTCATCTAAACTTAGTGCCATGTGGTGGTGGTGTTGTGTATGTTGGTGTGTCTGTTAATGATCTGAGGAAGCCTGTTGATATGGAAAGCCATTAAAGGTTGTCACGAATTCAGCCCAGATGAGAATTTCTGCCAGTCCATAAATCTGAATGCATAGTCAGTGCAGATGGCAAAGAATAATTCTTACAAATTTTTGGAAGCTTGGCACAATTTTCATAACCACTCTCCAAACCCAGACAGAAAATGTAACATTTTAATGGATTATTTGTGTATTTTACATTAAGCAACAGATGGGCATAAATGGGGGAGGGGGACTCCTTGGTAACCTTGTTTTCATTTATATGGCAGCGTTAAAATATGGACAATAATCTATCTACATGATTAAGTTTACAATTCAAATCTATGTTACAAAACTAATACATGTTCATTGTAAACAAGAAGGGAAAACACAAAGAACATTTGGTGTATATTCTGCTAGTCTGTTTTCTAAGCAAATATTACTTTTTAAGCAAATGTGCTGATATTACCCATACTATTTTATAATACTAGTTTATATACCATTTTACTTGATCCTTGTTCATGTTAATAATACATACATATATAATCACTGGTTAGTAGTATATATAGGAGCCCCAGTGTGGCGCTGTGGGTTAATGCACCAGACTGCAAAGCCGTTTGAACTGCAAAGTTGGTGGTTCAAGCTCACCAGCTTCTCCTTGGAAATTTAGGGTCACTATGGGTCGGAACTGACTCGATGACATTTAACAATAACAAATAGTTATATATATATAATATATATATATATATTATATATCCTGGTGTGGCACTGTAAGATCAGCACTGGATTGTGAACCACAAGGTCAGCAGTTCAAACCCGCTAGCTGCTCCTATGAGAGTCACTATAAGTTTAAACCAACTAAACGGCACTTGATAACAACAACAACACACACACATACATATATTTCTTGTTAACTGGTCAATAATAATCAAATTATAGTTTTCAGAAGTAGCATTTAGAAGCTATGTAATCATGTTCATAATTTTGGAGGAGCAGTAGAGGGGAAGAGGATTTAAGAAGATGGCCAAGAATTAGGGTGCAAAATCCCATCAATACCTCTCACAGACTTACGTAACTTTTGTTATTAGATCTCAGCATTTATTTCATCCATCATTATTGGTAATACATGGAACACAGTAGGTAAATAAAAATAGCAATTCTAGAAAATTACTTTCTGATTCACAAAGCCCTTTAAAAATACTGAATTCCAAATTGATTTACTAAGCATTCACCCCAGTCAGAATTGACTTGATGACAATGGATTTGGTTTTGGTTTGGGGAGAGGTGAAGGGGAGTCAGTGCCCAGGGAATAGGTACCGTGATTGGCCTGGGAATTGTTTTACAAATACTGTACGTGACTCAGTTACACAAGTAGAGTGAAGAATGTGTAGATCCATCACCTCCCGGACAGCGCAGCATAGCTATGAAACTAAATGTTATCGCTAAAGATGGAAGTCTTTAAGTGAGCAAGCCAGCTTTGTGATGGTGAGTGCTTCTGTCTTTACCAAATGTCTGCTGACTTTTTCATCTTCAAAATGTACTTCTTGTTAAGTGCCATCCACTCAGTTCCGACTCATTGCAACCGTATGTAAGGTTTCCAAGGAGCGGCTGGTGGGTTTGAACTACCGACCTTGCAGTTAGCAGTCTAGTACTTATCCTACAGTACCACCATGGGACTCCTAAATAATGTCCCAATAACATTAATATGCCACTTCAACTTCCTTATCAGCTTTAATCTTTGCTTCAGTTTAATGATAGAGTGTGAACTAGCATTCACATTTTATGAATGTATGCAAATGTATTCATTTAAAACTTGACAATAAAGCCTTTAATTTAATCCCTCAGCAGATACTTTAAACATAACATTCTCCCACAATATTTTCCAAACATTGTTTAATATGTTTGAAAGGCAACTACACCCACCCCCAACACCTATACACATTTTCACTCAAATGTTCATAATATGAGCATTCTGGCAGTTTACCAAGAATTTACGTGTAAAATAGCATATATGTATTTGGTCCTGAGAGTTTTAAAGAAATCATACTTATCAAGGATATGTTTGCAAACAATATTAAAAACGATGAATCGTCTGAGCAATTCAAGTAACTTGTCACCTCCATCCAATTCTGTAATTGTAGGGCATTCTAGAACGCTTGAATGCTGGAGAGGTTGTGATTGGAGATGGAGGGTTTGTCTTCGCTTTGGAGAAGAGAGGCTATGTGAAAGCCGGGCCCTGGACCCCAGAAGCTGCTGTGGAACACCCAGAAGCAGGTTGGTGCATGGCTCTGTTCTAAGCTGTCATTCAAAAAAGCTCAACTAGACTGACCCAGATCTAGGAGCAAGCATGCCATCCAACTGAGACATTCATGCTACGTTTTCCAAATATTTTTATTTCCTAGTAAGGCTAGGCACAAGGACCTCAATGACACTATAGGATGAACACTGGACTGTGAACCACAAGGTTGGCAGTTTGAGTCTACCAACTGCTCTGCAGGAGAAAGAGGAGGCTTTCTGCTCCCACAAAGATTTAAAACCTTGGAAACCCTATACAGAGTCGCTGAGTCAGAACCAACTCGAAGGCACTTAACAACAACTAGTAAATACTGGAACACTGGTGATGGCTGCCGGAAAGGCACCAGACTGCTAACCACAGGATCAGCAGTTCAAATCCACCCACAGCAAAGTGGGGGAGCTCTCTGCTCCTGTAAAGATTTGTAGCCTCAGAAACCATACACAGGTTTACTATGATGTGGAATCAGCTCAGTGGCAGTGGGTTTGGTTTTGGGGATTTTCTAGTAAATATTATATCATATGAACAGTTGTTTTATATTTATTATAGAAAGTTCATATTTCTATGAACTCAATTATAAAGGATGGAAACTAACAAAGCATTTAAATAGGTTGAGCAACAGTAAAGTTTTGAGGTGCCTGTGTAGTCAAATCAAACTGCCTCACTCATATCTTGTCAGTCATGAGGCTGTGTGAACTTGGAGGAATTATTTCGCTTCTCTGGGTCTCAGTTTCCTGTTCTATAATGCTGAGGTATATTAACATATACCTCATGTTGTTGTTGTTGTTGTTAAATGCCGTTAAGTCGGTTCCAACCCATAGCAACCCTGTATAGAGTTTCCAAGGAGCAACTGGTGAGCTTGAACCACCAACCTTGTGGTTCAAACCAACTCTGCAGTCCAGCGCATTAACACACAGTGCCACAGAGTTTAAAATAGTGCCTGACACACGTTAAAGGCTGTATATGTTAACTATTATTACTTTTGAGTTGTTTCTCTTAATCATGTTCTTGGTTATATCGATCTGTTACTGCTACAAAAGTACAGAGGTGTATTCGGGATATAAATCACACAATCCCTAACTGGTACGCAAAGTAAAAGAACTAGACTTACAGTGTGAAGCCCAGCGAATGTACACACCATTATATTTCTAAAGTAGAAATAATTCTGTGTCATTGTTGTTAAGTGCCATTGAGTTAGTTCCAACTCATAACAACCCTATGAGTATAGGGTATCCAAGGAGTGGCTAGTGGATTTGAACTGCCAACTTTTTGGTTAGCAGTCCCATGTTTATCCTACAGCACCACTCCAGGGTTCCATTCTGTGTTGTACACACCACCCCCCTGCCCACCACCACCACCCCCTCAAAGATGAAAGTAGAAGGCCCTTGGGCAGCTAAAACAATAGTTCTTCTCAATTTTCAGTTTCAGTAGCAAAGTTTATTAAAAATATTGATTCCTTTTGGTAAAGTGGAGGGTCAGTGAAAAAGAAGATCCCCAATGAGATGGATTGGCACAATGGCAGCAGCAATAGACTCATGTAACAGTTGTGATGATACAAAACCGGTCAGTGTTTTGTCCCATTGCACATAGGGTCGCTATGAAGGAGAACTGTTCACTGGCACTTAACAACAGCCCATACTAAACTAACACCATGTAAGTCTTGAATTTCATCTCCTTTGGTCAGGTATGAAAGAAGCCCTGGCAATGTTGTGGGGCAGGCATTGCACTGCTGACCTCAGCATCAGAGATTAAACACACAGCTTCTCCAAGGAAGGATGAGGAGCCAGTCTGCTCCTGTAGGGATTTGCAGCCCTGAAACCCTATCTAGTTGCTCTTCTAAGTCCGAATCGACTGAATGGCAGTAGTTAGTTGAGTCAGTTCTGACTCATACCTACCTACCCTAGAGGACAGAACAGAATTGCTTGGTAGGGTTTCTGAGACTGGATCTGTATGGAGGTAGACAGCCACATCCTTCTCCTGCACAGAGGCTAGTGGTTTTGAACCACTGACCTTTCAGTTAGTAGCCCAATTTGTAAGCCACTGCATACCTGTTGTTGTTGTTGTTGTTAAGTGCCGTCGAGTCGGTTCCGACCCATAGCGACCCTGTACAGGGTTTCCGAGGGTGTAAATCCTTACGGGAGTAGAAAGCCTCATCTTTCTCCCGCGGAGCGGCTGGTAGTTTCGAACCGCTGTCCTTAAGGTTCGCAGCCCGATTCGTAACCACTGCATACCTAGGAAATTAAAATACTACTTACTAATTCCTCCACTTCAACATATTCCTATAGGGAATATAGGCTCACCTCATAGTAGGAACCAAGTCTACGGTACTTAACAACATAGTTTTCATATATGAGTAGCTTTTTTACAACTGTTTTTAGACAAGACTCACAGTTCTAGTCCATCCAGTTTTTTTAGTAGCCAATGTATCAGCTCCTGCTCAAGTTAAGTTTAATAAAAGCCTTTTCAATGTCAAAAATATATATGTATATATATATATTCCTAGGCCTGATCTCTGGAGATTTAGATTCATTAGGTCTATGAAGGGGTTCAGGCATCTACATTTATAATAACTGTCCCTCGGGGGATTGTAAAATAAACCATACTTTGAGAAGCATTGCATCAAAGGGCTTTAAGATACCTGCTGAAATAAGCAATGAAGATCATAGAGTGCAGATTCAAATGGACCTATGGTTTTTCTTTTAAAGTTTGCTTGCTATTAAGCTCAGTATGAAATATTTCTTAGATCTAACTAATATTTATGGTATACAGACTCTGCCAAGTAAAGAAAGTAAGACTGTTCTTACACTACAAGTTTCAATTTTGTAAATGATATTAACAAAGTTACACATTGGAGGAACTCAAGAACAAGTGCCTTGCTATTGATGTTCTTCCATTTTATTAATACAGAAACAGCATATGTAGCAACCATTTGTGTCTTCAGTATTTTGAACTTATTTAGGGGTACTGAGCTCTACTTTTTCTTTTGGAAGTCTCATGCTTTTCAGGAATTAGTGAAAACTCCATGATCTTGAGACAGACATTATGTTGAATACGTCTGGTGCAGACTGAAATCCCATATAGTTGATTATGCCATCCTGATACAAATTCTGTCCAGCACAGTGGGTGACTGGATGCATCAGAAAATCTCCTGTAACAAGTCCTCAAAACACCATCCTCAGAGAACAGTGGCTATGCTTTGCCTTTACGCTGGGAAAAGATGTTTAAGACATCCATCCTCTGAATGAGAAGAGTAGTCCATTTTCATGATATTTATATACAAATTATTTATTTGCTTTTCTAATTTAGACTGGGTGATAGGTAGAATTGCTATAGGCCCTCAAGGGGTTCCTTGCAAATTACCTTTCCAACTGCATTTCCAACAACTTTAACATAGCTCAACACCAGCCTCTCAGATTCCTTGTCATTCCATCAAATACCAAGCATGCTCCTACCTAGGTGTCCTTGATCAGGTGGTTCCGTCTGCAGGGATGCCCTTCCCCACCGTCTCTGTCTGGCAAAAAACGCTGAATTCTTCAAAGTGCAATTCAAATGAACCTTCCTCTGTAGGATGTCCTTCTTCTCTTCACCTCACAGCCATGGTAGAAATAATCTTTTCTTCCTACATAGCCCAACCATGGCATGATGTAGTCAGTGAATTCTCTGATGGATTGTAAATTTCTCAAAGGATAGAGCAATAGATGGCAGACACAAGAAGGTGAGTACCTCTTCTGACTACCTGTCCACTCAACCACAGCAAGTTTGAGAAAGTTACTGACAGTTCCCAGATCCACTTCAGTGTGTCAATGCCAAGCAACCATAAATTCCAGCAGTTATTTTAACATAGTGTTTTGTTTCTTCATCTACGAGCCTGTTGGAAACATTAAGTTAGTAAAACTGGTAGGAATTCATGCATTTCCTTATTCAATCTCCCAGTCCGACAGCTTCATCGAGAGTTCCTCAGAGCTGGATCGAATGTCATGCAGACCTTCACCTTTTATGCCAGTGAAGACAAGCTGGAGAACAGGGGCAACTATGTTGCAGAGAAGATATCTGTGAGTAAAACCATCCATGGAACTTGTAGAAGGGCATGGTAGACCCATTGCATTAATTACCGAAGTTCTCATAGAGGAAGATGTTGAACAGCTTCATCCTAGTTTAGTTGCTTGTTTGTAAATAATAGAGAAATAAGGTATGTATCAATAATAGACTTAGACTTTAGCTGGAGTCCCCAAAATTAACAGAAGGGCATTTAATGAAGCAGATTAGAAAAAGTATTTGGTGATTCATGATTTTCCCATCTCTTGTCTAAAGTTGCTGGATAAAGTGGGCATGGTCAGAAATTCCTACTTCCTTAGTTTGTATGCATGGTTACAAATTCCTATATCCTTACAGTTTGGTGTGTATGTGTGTGTGTGTGTGTGTTTAATGCAGCAACGTGTAGGGAACGATTATAGACACAAGGAATTGATGAACATAGAATCACCTCTAACTCAGCTATAATCAATGGTGGGCAAATTTTCCATCTTTTAAAAGAAAGCTCTACTCAAAAGAAAGAACAGATCTTTACAGCAAGGATCATTCCCACCCCCTCCATACACAGAGCAGACAGGGATGGGCAACTTGGACATTGGCTACCCAAAATGAGGGGGCTACAAAAGCAAGAAGTGACTGGCTTACAAGCTTTCAAGAGGGAACCTAGAGGTCCAGAGGGTGTGGAGGAAGGTAGAATCTCCACTGAGTAGTATCTAATCTGTCTGGGCGGGGCTGATGAAATGAAATGCAGATGGGTCTCTTGTGATACAATAGTGAATAATTGTTATCAGGACTGATTGTGAAGGTTGGAAATGTAAAGGTAGATGTTTTGTAGCAAGGAGGGGAGTGATTGACTTTGCAGTCTAGGAGCAGAGGTCCCTGGGACCATCAAGGGAGAAGAGCGGAGAGAGGGACCCTACCCAGAGAAGCAGTGACACCAGAGATGGAGGCAGAGACGATGATGTGGAGAGATGGAGCAGCTGGGGACTTTAGACCCAGAGAGGAAGAGGGGCTGTGTGCTGATGGGGGGGGGCAGGCTTGCAGGGTATACCCTTTGGTTGGTTGATGATGCATGGAGGTGATTGTAACCATGGCAATGAAATGATATATGACAGGATGAATGTAAAACTAATGTTCTCCCATGTAAACTATCACATAATTCACAATAAAACATTATAAAAAACAACTCTAAAATTCCCTTGGACTCCTGGTGTGGTGCTATAGGATTAGCGCTGGACTTCGAACCACAAGGTCAGCAGTTCAAACCACCAGCTGCTCCTTAGAAACCCTGTGCAGGGTCACTATGAGTTGGGACCAACTCAATGGCACTTAACAACCACAACAACAAAATTCCCTTAGTCTATATGGACTATAGCATTGAGTTTTCAAAGACAAGAGGTAATTTTTAATGTTAAATCATTAAAAAAACAATCAACACATCTGCCTAGTTGTGCATTAATCTATTAGTTGAGAAAATAGATGACAAAAATTCATGAATTTTGAAGTAACTTTAACTGAATTTCAATCCTAAGAACAAGTCACATCACTTTTATTAATATTGCTATTTCGAACTTCTCAGTTACTGAATTGAGTAGCTTGAAATAGCCATGTTAATAACAGTATTGAATTATTCACCTGTGCACATGAACTAAGATGTGGACATCTGGTTAATAATGTGGAAACTCAGGTGTACCCTATGTTCACCCACTTTAGGGGCTGAAAGTCAACGAAGCTGCCTGCGATATTGCTCGTCAAGTGGCTGATGAGGGCGACGCTTTGGTGGCAGGAGGTGTAAGTCAGACACCATCATACCTCAGCTGCAAGAGTGAAACTGAAGTTAAAAAAATATTCCAGCAACAGTTAGAGGTGTTCATGAAGAAGAATGTGGACTTCTTGATTGCAGAGGTAAACACGATCGATCATCAAAGACTGGACAAGTGTGCTTGGGACATTTTCTCTACTTTTGGTTTCCATAAAGACCAGGCAGAGTCAGGCATCCATCATAACTAGTGATCGTAATTAGGATTTGAAATCTGTTTCTAATTTAGGACTACTTCCAAATTTGATTTTGTAAATCTATTACAGTATTTTTCAACCCATTGAACTACAGTTTCACAGTAAGAAATCACCATTCAATTGTCAATTGTTTCCTTTTTTTTTTTTAATGTTGATATGTCATACCTCAGAGTTTCAAAAACACTCATCTCGTAATAATTAAGTTATTAAATAATAGAATAGTTTTTCTAATTTTTTGGGGAGAAATGAGATTAAAAGTATAGGTTCTGTGGGACCCTATCCAGAGAAGCAGTGATTCCAGAGATGGAGGCAGAGATGAGGACATGGAGAGATTGCAACTGAGAATTCTAGACTCATGGGAAGAGAAAGACTAAGTGCGGGCAGCCAGGAGGCAGGCTTGCAGAAAGTGCTGCAATTTGGTTGTTTAAATTATATATTCCTAAGTGTTTTTGTGTACAAACCGCCCCCCTCAAAAAAAAAAGATGGAAGAGAAGCAAATATTGTTGAATGATGATGCACAGAGGAGACTGTAATCATTGCAATGAACAATGGTGTAAAACTGATGTTCTCTCATGTAAACTATCCCTCAATTCACAATAAAAACTTTTTTAAAGTATCTTAAACTTAATGTATTTCAGTATTTTGAACACGTCGAAGAAGCTGTGTGGGCGGTGGAGGCATTGAAGGCATCTGGTAAACCAGTGGCAGCGACCATGTGCATAGGGCCAGAAGGAGACTTGCACGGCATTGCCCCCGGCGAGTGTGCTGTGCGGCTGGCAAAAGCAGGTAATGAGATTTTGTATCAGTTCATAATTAGTGAGCCTTTTTAAATAACTTACCAATGAACATCGATCTGCAAATAGGTGTATACTTCTTTTGTTAACAGGAAAACCATTTCTTTACTTCTTTAGGAATATTGATAATACCACTGTTAGGTCCCAAAGAAAAGAAAGTTAAAAATAAAATACAATAAATAAAAAAATAAAATGCACATGTACACACACACACATACACATCAGTGGTTCCGAAGTGACAACTAGATCTATGCTGGCAGTTTGCACTTAGAAATGAGAAGACTGTTTTAGTAAATCAAAACATTGTTACATATTATCCTTAGGATACAAAAAAAAAACACCTTACATCAAATAGAGGTTTTTAAATGTTAATGACTTCAAAGTTCATTGCCCTCAGTGCCAAACTTTCTCCATCATCATAAATTACTGGTATGCTTTGCTTTTTGTAATTGATATAATAAATCAAATAACATTTTGATATGAAAGAGTGACCACCTAATTTATCTTTTTATATAATTTCCATTCTTAATATTGCTTTCATTTAAATTAGTGAAAACTTAGACTTTTTCAAAGCTGCCTCATTTAAAACCCGGGGACTAGCTCAGTACCTGTGGAAAAGTCTGACTTTCTGTGTATTATGTAGATTTTGAGTGGCTCTTTATTTAATCTCTGGCTTTTACCCAGCTCCTGATTTGTCAAGTCACTTCATATTCTTTGTTAACAATAACAGCTGTTTCAATTCTTGAATGAAATTGCACGATCCTACTATTAGCTTGGCCCAGGATCGGGCAGTGTTTCATTCTGTTGTGTATCAGGTCGCTATGAATCGATACCGACCCAATGGCACCGAAAACAGCAACAACTATTTGGTTATAGAGTCCTGCTGTGGTACTGTGGGACCAAGCACTGGACCACACGGTCCATTTTAATGGCAAGGTCAGCAGTTCAAACTCTCCAGCCGCTCCTTGGAAATCCTATACAGGGTTGCTATGGGTTGGAACTGACTCAATGGCATTGGACAACAACGAGTATTTTGTTGGAATCCTGGTGTGGCTCTGTAAGGTAAGCACAAGACCATGGTTTAAGCTCACCAGCGCTTCTCAGAAACTGTATACTGGGTCGCTATGAGTTGGTATCAACTCGATGGCAGTTAACAACACAAAATAAGTATTTGATTGGAAATATAAATATAGGGGGAAAAGGCAAAAAGATCAGAAGTAGTAGACATCATCCCCACTGCTAACTGGCAGGGACTGCTGGTCTGTATCTAACCCTTTCCTCACCACCCTTTGTATGGCGCTGTAGGATCAGCATTGAACTGTTAACCACAAGGTTGATGGTTCAAATTCAACAGCTGCTCCTTAGAAACACCATACAAGATCACTATGAGTCTGAACTGACATGATGGCACTTAACAACAACCCCATTTATGGAGTCCTGGTGTGGCACGGTAGGATAAGCACTGGATTGCTAACACAATGGCAGCGGTTCAAACCCACCAGCCTCTCCTTGGAAACATTATCCAGGGTTGCTATGAGTCAGAACCAACTTGATGGCATTTAACAACAAACAACAATCGTGTTTATATGTGGGCAGTGGTGGTTCCATAGCAGATGTGTCACTTTGCATGTGGAGACCGAGGTTTGACACCTGGGAAATAAACACCTCATGGCCCAGGCACCAACCATCTGACAGTGGAGGCATGCATTTTGCTATGATGCTGGACAGGTTTAACAGAGCTTCCAGACTAAGACAAGGAAGAAAGGCCAGGAAACCTACTTCTGAAAACCAGCCACTGAAAACCCTAGGAATTACAACCATCTGGCACAGACCAGGCAGGTCTTTGTTCCATTGTTTGTGGGTTACCATGAGCTCGAGGACAACTCTAAACTGGTAACCACAACAACCCTGCTTCTGTCACTTATTTATAAGTGAGCTTCTCACTTATTTATCTGTTTGTCTGTCTCCCTCACTAGACTGTAACATCCATGAGGGCAGGGACTGTGTTTGGTTCAGCACTGAGTACCCTGTACCTAACACAGCACCTAGCACATACTGCTGTTCTTGTCATCCGTGCCAAATCTATTCCAACTCATTGGCGTTGTTGCTGTTAGGTGCCAACGAGTCAGTACCAACTCATAGCGACCCTATGCACAACTGAATGAAACACTGCCCAGTCCTGGGCTAAGCTCACAATTGCAGCTACACTTGAGCCCAGTGAAGCTGCCACTTTGCGAATCCATCTCGCTGGGGGGTTTTCCTCTTTATCTCTGACCCTTCACCTTGCCAAACATGATATTCCTTTCCAGTGACTGGGCCCTCGTGACAATATGTCTGAACTATGAGAGACAAAGTTTAGCCATCCTGGCTCCAAGGAGCACTCTGGCTGCACTTCTTCCAACACAGATCTATTTGTTCTTTTGGCAGCCCATGGCACTTTCAATATTCTCCTCCAACACCATAACTCAAAAGCATCAATTCTTCTATGATCTTCCTTATT